TAGAGCTGGATCGAATATCCCTCCACTCTCCACCCTGGACTTACTGACATGTCCCCTCCTGTCCACACTCCCCCCTCCTGTCATAGTCCCACAGGGGGACACACCAAGTCTGCCCATTGGCTGCTGGGTAAGGTGTTTACAGGGAAAGGAGCCAGTAACAAGCCATCAAGTGGCAGCCTCGGGGTACAGATCAGGCTTCTCTATAAGGTAGAGGAAGGCTCCCCAATGACAGCTAGGTCCCAGAGGGGACTCCAGCTTCTCTTTGCCTCCCCCAGATGGCTCAGGCCTCCCTTGGGTGGGGGACTCTAAGCCATGTTGGCCTCCCCAGCCATGTTCCTGGTCCCATCTGTCAAAGAGAGGGAGAAAAGAACAAAGACCTAGTGTGCTCAGGACAAAGGAGAAAGGTCCTGCCAGCCTTTGTTCTTTCCTAAGCCCTGGTGTACCCCTTGGGACGGCCACCATGGAAACCCTCTCCCACACTCACTAATTGCCCCTGTGGGTGCCTAGAGTGCCTGGGACATGAGCCATTGTCAAGACAACAGGGCTGGTTCTGATGCTGGCTTCTTGTCTCCACAGAGTCCTTCCTAGTTGCCCTGGCACTCTGGCTCCCTGGGTAGCTTCCCAGCCAGGCAGGACTTGGGGAGAAGGGATTGGAGGCCCACCTTTCCCTGGGAAACCAGCTACTGACTGTGCAGGAGGCAACAGAAACGAGACAGAGTAGAGTGAAGGTGAACAGGGGGATGTTCAGGGAGAAAGGGACAGTGTTGATTCAGAGGGAGATCAGCAATCCTCCCCCACCCCAAACAAAGGAAGAAACAAATCTTAAGAGGCAATGGGCTAAGACCTGGTAATCTTCCATGGCTCAGGAGTGTGTGTGTGTGTGTGTGTGTGTGTGTGTGTGTGTGTGTTTAATGAGTTTTTCTCCTGTGTAAGATTCAGAGTAGAATGCTGGGCAGTAGTGGCACATGCCTTTAACCCCAGCACTCAGGAGGCAGAGACAGGTGGATCTCTGTGAGTTCAAGGCCAGCCTGGTCTCCAGAGTAAATTTCAGGACAGGCTCCAAAGCTACAGAGAAACCCTGTCTCATAAAAAAAAAAAAAAAAAAAATTCGGATTAGAGGTCAGTGTGTCCTTGGAGGTATGGTGGCACTGTTTTGGTTATGACAAAGTCCCTGGTATCTGTTCCTTGTGAAACAGTGTTGGAGAAAGAGCAGGTGTGCAAATGGGAAGCCACATACCAGAATACACACTTAGAGATAATAGGTGTGGGTCCCTGGTTGGGGGTGGGAGCTTTCCATCAGTTGTGCTGGGATGTCGGATTGGTCCCCTGTTGGATTCTGGATCTGGAATGTTCTGGTGATGCCAGATGATGCACATCTGCAATCCTAGCACCAGGGAAAGTGGAGGTAAGAGGATCAGGAGTTCAAGGCCAGCTTGGGCTACCCAGTGAGACCCTGTTTCAACCCCCTTTCCCTATTCCCTCCCAAAAAAGAGCAAGAAAGGAAAAGTACCCCATATATGTTTTTGTGGTACCTGGCAGGTCCAGGCAAGTCTGTCTCCTTCACATGGAGCCTGCTCCAGAGGAAATAGTTGTAAAAGGCCAGACCATTATCTGTAGTTTCCCTAAGGAAACTGATGCTTGGAAGTAGAGTAAACTTGACTAAAATGAATCCTTACTATCATATCAGACCCAAGGTTAATCTCCACTCTTGGCATCCCATGAATCAGCATTCCCCCACTTTGGCCTGCTCTCCGGGATGGCCTCCTCTCCTAGAAAAGCTAGGCTTTGGTGGTACAGGCATGTATTCCCAGCTACATGGGAGACTGAGGCTGGAGAGTCACAAGTTCAAGTCTTGCATGGCCTACCAAGTGAGTTCAAGGCCAGCTGCATCTCAAAACAAGAAAGTGAATAGAGGGCTAAAAACATAGCTTAGTGGAGGAGTACTTGTCTAGCATGTGTGAGATCTTGGATTCCATACCCACTACAATAAGGAAAAGAAAAAAGACATGGAACTTCTAGGGCCTCCTTCCCTTCCTCTTCCTTGATCACTAGGGTATCCACAGCTTAACTATTATTTCATGTGGGGTTCATAAGGCCGTTCCTCAGATTCCCTGCCCAGTGACTTTGCACAGGTCCTGACAGCCTTACAAGAGAAAAGGAGGCTGAGCATGCAGCCCACGGCCGCAATGCGAGGCAAAGGCAGCTAGAACTACCAATACATAATCTCAGAGCCTATAGTCAGTGCCCAAGCCCTGGCAGTCAAAAGTGGGAATCTTGCCAGGAGGTGGTAGCATGCACCTTAAATCTCAGCTCTCAGAAAGCAAAGGCAGGTGTATCTCTGTTAGGATTGAGGCTAGCCTGGTCTACAGAGAAAATTCCAGGATAGCTAGGGCTACACAGAGAAATCCTGTCTCCAAAACAAAACAAACAACAACAAGAGTGGGGCTCTCAGGCATGCAACCCATGTGCTCCTTTCCCTCTACAGTTTAGCTCTTCTAGGAGACCATGGGGGTGGGACAACTTTTGCAGCCATGAGCTGAGACAGTCTCTGTAGCTGTGGCTCACTGGACACAGACACTGGAAGTAGATGCTTTCCAACAGGACCCTCGCTGGGCCAGAGTCACTATCCTTCCTATGGGAAGCATTCTCTGGGCATCACTAGAGCAGGTCCTGTTGCCAGCCATCTCCATGGCAACCCTGAGACGTCAGAGAAGACAAACAGGTTCTTCCTTGTGCAAACACAGTTCTTTTGTTGTGTGACAGACAGCTCCTTCCTACACAACCCTGTCTGGCCTGTAGCTCACTATGTAGACCAGGCTGGCCTCAAATTTACAGAGATCTGAAGGTTCCTGCCTCTGCTGGGATCAAAGGCATGTGTCACCATGCCCAGCTTTAATGTGAACGCTTGTTGTCACACATTCTGATGAGCCTTCCTTCACAAAGCAGTTCCAATCCTTCCAACACTTCTGCACTAGCTGGGAAAAGACATCCTACTCCAGGCAACATGGACCCATGCAATCTCGTTGGGAGATGTTGTGTGAGACATATGTGGTAATGACTCCTCAACCAGGTGATTTTATTCAGGGAGCAACTAAGCAGCCATTTCCTATGAACCTAGCAGCTCATTTAAAAACTTCCTGGAAGCCAGGTGTGGTGGCGCACACCTTTAATCCCAGGACTCAGGAGGCAGAGGCAGGCAGATCTCTGTGAGTTTGAGGCCAGCCTGGTCTACAGTGAATTCCAGGACATCCAGAGCTACACAAAGAAACCCTGTCTCAAACCCAAAAACAGACAAACAAACAAAACAAAAAACTGTCTGGAAAGGGGTTGAGTCAGGAAGCACACCTAAGGTATTTACCTGTGGAGACAAGCTGGGATGACATCTAGAGGTGTCTGCCAACCTGTATTGTCACAAAGGTATGAACTGGGACAGGAGCAGGGTTCACAGGTGAGTGGAAGTGAATCCACACCCTAGGATGGGGGCAGGGGGAAGACACTCTTGATGTCCATTTTGTATTTTCAAGCACTACAAGTCTCCTGTCCCCACAGCCTCCCAGGTTCACAGCTGAGATTTGGACCTCCTGTCAAGTTCTTGAATAGGAAAGACTTTCAGGATCTTTCTGAGCCTCGGTTTTCCCCTACAGATAATGGGCAGATTACCACTCCCATTCCAGCTTTCCTCTCATAATAACATCGTGGCGGAATCACTTTGTCTTACTCTATCCTAACCCTACCCAGCTCAGCCTTAGGTGACATTACCTCTTCCCTGGCAAAGACATTGAGACAGCTCCTCCACTTGCCTGACCCACATCTCAGTGCCCTAAGCCGAGACTGATGTTACCCAACTTGAATTGGTCACCCTTTCATAACTCTTGAGACAGAGATTTCGCTGAACTAATATGACTTATTGAACCTTCGCAATGATACTGGCCAGAAGACTAGAGCAGTTCTGGGATCACCCAGCAGCAAGGTTGGGTAGCAGCTGGAAAGATGGCTCTAGAATCTACAAAGCCAGACCATCTTTATCATGAAAACTGGGGGAAAGAAAGTATAACTGATTTACATTGACCATGGATGAAAAGGACTGGGCTAAGGCTGGAGAGATGGCTCAGAGGTTAAGAGCACTGGCTGCTCTTCTAGAGGTCCTGAGTTCAATTCCCAACAACTACATGGTGGCTCACAACCATCTATAATGAGATCTGGTATCCTCTTCTGGCCTGCAGGCATACATGTAGGCAGACCACTGTATACATGATAAATAAATAAAACTTTGAAAAAAATACCTATAAAAAAAAAGAAAAGGACTGGGCTATACAGATTGGGCAAAGTTTGGGGTGAGGGAGCTCTAATGCAAAGAGACATAGGCTCACATTTTTGATGGTGTGTGTGTGTGTGTGTGTGTATGTGTGTGTGCATACACTATAACATGTGTAGATGTCAGAGGACAACTTGCAGGGGTTGGCTCTATGGCTTCCAGGGATTGAATTCAGGTTATCAGTCTTGGCAGCAAGTGTGTTTGTCCATTGAACCATTTTATTAGCCATTTTTGTTTGTTTATATGTATGAGTATTTTGCCTGTATGTATATATGTGTACTATTGCTTGACTGATGTCCAAAGAGATCAGAAGAGGGTGTTGAATCCCCTGAAACTGGAATTGCAGACAGTTATGTGCTATAGTGTATAGATGCTAAGATTTGAACCCAGGTCCTAAGGAAAAAAAAGTGGGTACTCTTAACTACTAAGCCATACAGTGAGTCATCTCTTTGACATCTAGCCTCTAATTTGCTAATGTACCCAAGGCTGGCCTTGAACTTCTAACTCTTGTTCCTATCTCCATCTTTCAAGTGCTGATATTGTAGGTGTGTACACAATACTTGGCTATTTTCTTTTTCTCTCCATCTTTTTTAGACAGCATATTCATAGGTAGCCTAAGCTGAGCTGAAATTTGCTGTAGACAAAGCTGGCCACAAACATGGTGATCCTCCTGCCTCAGCCTCCT